CTCTCTATCTGTAACAACGACCACACGCCAACCAGCTGACCAATGACAGCACACCAGGTGGCAGGATAAGAAACAAGAGGTTCTTTATTGGCCGCGTTTCCTTTCTAAAAGGATACCAGCTGCCGTTTGTGTGTCATTCATCCCCGGCGAGGGTAGTGAAGTTTTACCCCTTGAAATTGACACCACGAATTGCCACCGTCCCCTTACCCCCCCGGACTCCGCTCACCATCCTTGTCGACCCCCCCCCCCCCCTACACCCCACGGCACCCCTAGGTCTGGAATCCCTCCTCCTCGCCGGGAACCCTCAGCGGCAGATAAGCCCGTCCCTCCTCCAGCGCGGGACTGTCGCCACGCTGGCCTACCTCCGAGACCGCCTGCCCCCCGACCACCGCCCCCGCACCCCGATAACGCCTCCCCCTGCTCCAAAACCTTTCAATGATGCCACCGCCGCTGGGACGGGTAGTAGTGCTCATGGTTCTCTAGGCGGCGGCGGTGCGGGCGGCCGGGGCGGGGGCGGGAGCGGGGGCGGGGGCGGGGGGGGAGAGGCGGCGAAGAGGATTGCCTTGTTGACCGCCGAGGTTGAGGCGCTCAGGGAGGAGACGGAGGCGCCGGGCCTCAGTCAGGCCAAGGCCTACGCGTTGAAGAAGAAGCTGCAGATGAAGAGGGCCGCGTTGATTCGCGAGGAGAGGGCGCTCAAGCAGGCTCAGCAGGGCGGGGGGAGATGAGGATTCGGCGGGAGAACAAGAATCGTGTTTTGTGTGTGTGGACTCATGGTCGTGCTCGCATACCTAGGAAGCCGGGAGGGACCACCCCGGGTTTTCCCCGGCCCGGGTTTTTGGGGGGGGGGGGGGGGGTGTACTCATAGTCGTGCATGCCGTAGTCGTTTGACCATTGACCTCGCATCCCTACAAAGCCGGGACGGAGCACGCCGGGTTCTCACCGGACCAGGCTCTCACATCACCAAGCGCGAAGCGCCGTGAGGTATTTGGCGAGTCGCATGAAGGGTGAGCTGCATCCTGCTAAGGGTATTCGGCATCTTGTGCTTACTTCCTTGCGTACGGATGACAGCTACGTATGACTTAATTTATTTTCTGGTGCTTTCACTTCCAGAGACAGTTGTAAGCACTGTGTAACTGCCTCGAGGAAGCTTGACCATTTTAACACAACGTGGTGCGATCATCCCCCGTTGCGCGGAGTGAGGTTTCTCGACCCCGCACAACATGATCTACTCGACCACCATTATGGTTACCGCAAAAAAAAAAACCGAGGTAAAAAAAAAAAAAACGGTAACCTGGTTGCCGAGTTCACGAAGTGAATTGGCTTGTTTTACAACGTCGTTGCCAAGCGACGAAAACCCAATCCCGATGGCAAACACCGAGTGGGGGGCTTGTTTTACAACGTCGTTGCCAAGCGACGAAAACCCAAACCCCGATGGCAAACACCGGGGGGGGGGGCGGCTTGTTTTACAACGTCTTTGCCAAACGACGAAAACCCAACCCCGATGGCAAACACTGGGGGGGGGGGGGGGGGGG